TTGAATTACACACACGAAACGGTGACACGAGTTGCACGTCTCTCTATAGGAAGATTCAAAAGTATAGGCCGGTCAAGGCCGCTTGACCGATCGACGTCACATTTCAGCTTCTTGGGAGCGTTTTGGGTTAAACTTTACTTTGGCAGACCTAAAATTTTTAAGTTGTCTTTACATAAACCTGTAGATTTCGGCGAGTGGAATCCGAAAATGGTGATTTTCAGGCGAGGAATCCACTAGTTTAGAAGTTATTAAAGTGAACCTTTTTACCGTACTTGACAGGCAATTCAAAAGTTGAACTCGTACTCTAGGACCCCCTTCCCGAAAAAATAGGCTCAAACCTACTCTGTTAAGTCGAAATATGGCAGCTATCAAAAATAGTTATAACACCTTGAAAGGGGTGGTTCAGGAGGTGATTTGAAACAACTTTTTTCTTAGCGAAAATGTTGTCCGAGGCTTCGTTGAGAAGATATTAACGGAAAGCACTGACCAATCAGAGCGCGAGTATGCCGGTGGAGCGACCGCGATAGCGTATGAGCGCGGCCGCCTAGCGCGTAGCCTATGCTCCATCGACATACTCGCGCTCTGATTGGTCCGGAGTTTTCCGTTAATATCTCCTTAACGAAGCCATGGACAACATTTTCGCTAAGGAAAAAGTTGTTTCGAGTCACCTCCCGAACCACCCTTTTCAAGGACCTCCAACATTTTTGGGACACCCTGTATCAAAGTAGTACATAATGTAGTCCGTCATCACCGAGAATCTGGTTTACCGACAGGGTATAGCTACAAGGCAATATGGCGTCGAAAGTGTTAGTCAAATACGGTAGAATGTCACTTTTAACTCTTTGTGCTCGAGGGGCGCCTCTAGAACTAGCGCCCCGACATATGTAATTTAAAAGTGACTTTGTGAACGTACAATTTTAATTTTACTTATGTCAGAATACAGCTTTTTATAAATTGTAATAATAATTCATTGAGTCACGAATGTTCGTAGATGTCTTTTTTCTAAGTAGAGTTTTTTGGTTTTACAGAAATTTATTATAAAAATGGACTGGATCTGATTCTATAGAACAATGTCTCGAGCGCAAAGGGTTAACTGCTCATAACTTCTGAACCAATGGATTCCTCGCCTTAAAACTAGCATTTCCGGATTTTTCTCGACAAAATCTACGGGATTATGTAAAAGAAACTTAAAAATTTTAAGTCCGCCAAAGTAAAGTGCAGCCGCTTTTTGTTTTCAATTACGATAGTTAATTTATCATGATTAAGATTGTAAGATTCTCGAGAATTCGAAAGTCACGTGACTCGACCCATGTTACCGAACATGTGGATTAGAACAGGAGAGTCTCGCGAAAGCCGCGGAACGAGTCGGGCGCGTTCTGAAAGTATTACGAAATGAATATATCTATAAACGAAAACCTTACAAGATATTCTGAGGTAATAATTTACCAAGAAATAGTAGAACGAATAGAAGAAGAATAGGATTTATATCATGGGAACGCGATATCTGTGATTAGAACGTCACGATAACGTTTCAGTTTTCACGATGATAAACGCGATGATGTTTAATGTCTCCATTTAACATTGAAACTATATCATTTAAAATTAAACGTGTATTTCTACTGTTGACAATTACAATTTTACGTCACGTGAAAATGTACCTGCGAAGCGACCAATCAGGCAAATCGAGCACCCTAATCAATTAAAGAGGCAAATGCAAATTGGTTTGCATAATTCTATTCTGGAATCATAATTCTAACCGACCGATATTTCTGAATCCTTCCAAAACAATACATTTGCGCGAATTCCGGTAAAAGGCTCGTTTACGAATGACCTTGAGTACCCGACATTGTTCCCTTCGCGAATGTCACGTTGTCATTCTCGGAAAATCAAGTCATCACGCGTCATTTCATCTAATTACGCTTAATATCACGTTTGCATTTTCGCGATCGACGCGACAGTTCCGTTTCTCCGACACGAGTGAACAGCCGCGTGAATGGTTTTGGAGGTCGAACGCGATTGGTCGGTGTAACGGTTGCATTGTAAAAACGAATTTACGGTTCAGCAGAGTTGGGGAAAACCCTAGGTTTCGACTGACCTGAGGTTTTCCCATATGTTTGGGTCGTTTCTTTGAAAAACGTTTGGAAAAGACGAAACACGTGGCAAACTTTCGATTAGCTGAAGCCTAGGATTAGGGATGGCGTGGAAAATCACTAACAATGAGTTTTCACGGTGATCACGTAATCACGATCGTAGTCGTGATTAAACTTCGATCACGACCGTGATCCGGAAGATGGCGTTTCAGAAGCAGTTCATGTTTTTGTTACAAAATAACTTAAAACTGTGATCAGTTTTATAATGTCCAAAGCAAGTACTTTATACTTTATGACAGCACACTTAGAATAAGTTAGACATAAGTTACTAAAAAGTACTATCAAATGTTCTTATTAAAATTAAGATAATTCTGTTATGTACGAATTCTCTACATGTTGTAAGAATATATAGACAAAATGTAATTTTTTACAATAAAGAGACGCACACATAGGCCTGAATCGGACCTCAAGTGTTTTTAAATAAAAAAAAACACGTTATTTACCGGGCTATTTAGAAACAGTCTTTAATTCAAAAAAGAATTTTCTACAGTAGCATATGCCAATCTAGGCTGACAATAATTCCTCCATACTATTACTGGGTATATTGAAACCAAAGTCTGTTTCCAAACACTGAAGATTGTAAGTAGACAACCATCAACACAGTAAATAAATTGGAATAACTAAATACTGCAATTAAAAAGCCTATAAATAGGCTCCCGGTAAATAAAGTGTTAATTGTTATCGTTAGTGTCTCGCTGTCTCCCCTTAGCGGAAATTCAAGAAACTACGAATTGAAAATTTAAATTGTATTAAAATTATATTAACATTGGTTTTAAACCATATTATAATACATATATAACCTAAGAACAACATGATTCGTGAAAAGTGAAAAGAATGTTCTGTGCCAATCAGAAGCGATCACGAAGAATTACGAATCACTGTGAAAAATCATCATGATTGAGAATGAACGTGATTGAATCACGAGTGATTCAAAAGTAACAGTTCACGGCATCTCTAGTGATCTAGCGTTGCGACATAATGCTTCTAATTCTGAAACACCGTGTACTTACATATGGGAACAACATGCCCGCGTTCCTATGACCGGTCTTGCAAGCACGCGTAAGCAACCACCAATACGGTGGCTGCGTTCATTGAACGATCCTCTCGACTGGCCATACGGGCGAAATGTCCCTTTTCACCGAGGCGTTTCCTGTCATCGCTGACCCACGCTACTTCCAAAGAGCAAAATCTTTGACGCTATCTAGGCTAATACGTGCTAATACGTCCACTTTTTTTCACTGTTACTTTCTGAACTTTCATTTTGAACTTCAGTTTTGAATTTCAATTCAAGTTGTACTCCCAACATTTTGAAATGCATCATTCCAAACATTCGATTATTGTAAACAAATGTATTCTACGAAGCTAATCAAATATGACAGACCTCGATTCCATGAATTAATTGAATCAGTTGCTTCGACTAATGCAAATTGTAGCACGGTCATTGATTCGCGTAGTAGATAAATCTCGATGCATTCATAAACCAACGGAAAATGATAAGCCTGCAGAATTACTCATTCCAGTAGTATTTCTTAGAAAGTGTAATTTTACATTTCGCAAAATAAGAGTTGGGAAACTAGTCTTCGCTGTCATTCCAATTTTCGTCATTTGGATGTGTAGGGCCGACGCAAGGCAGTTTCAGCGCGTTCGCCGGAACCCGGCCTCGCGATCTACGAAAATTACCCAACTAAAAGGCACTGATTTTAATTAACTTTTACAGAATGATATCATTAACAGATGCAAGACATTTTTTTAATAGCGATGATTCAGTTTAAAGGAGTGTCAAAAATCATCAAAGTATTATTATTTAGTATACCCCTTATAAATATATAATATGTAACAGCGTTTGTAAATAAATAAGTCCTCGTTGTAAAATTTAAGTGTAGGATTTGAAGGTGAATTCAGGTCCCGCTACATTTCTGAACCCGGCCCCGCAAAAGGTCATGCCGGCCCTGTGGATCTATGTAGGTTCTGTTCGAACCTCCTTGCTTTTGGCATCTTGCGCCATCAGCACGCGTTTCGTATTAAATCATCGTTAAATTTGAAACTCCGCCATTAATTGTTCAAAATGGACCAAATTTGAAACTCTATTATTAAATATCTCGTTATATTTCTCGCTAATATTTGATTATTCCGAACACTACTCCGTAATAACGAATAAACTTCGAATATTTTACGTTCCCCCTCTGTTACATGCAGGGCCGGCGTTGGGGGGGGAGGGGCAGATTTATGGGGGCGTCGCAGTCCGGTGTCCCTAGTATACGAATATACCAATATACAGGGTGTCCCAAAAGTGTTGAAACTCCGTGGACGGGGGTGGTTCGGAAGGTGATTTGGAACAACTTTTTCCTTAACGAAAATGTTGTCCGAGGCTTCGTTAAGGAGATATTAACAAAAAAACCCTGACCAATCAGAATGCACGTAGCGTATGCTACGCGCTAGGCGGCTGTGCTCCACGACCAATCAGAGCGCGAGTATGCCAATAGAGCGGCCGCTGATTGGTCAGTGTTTTCCGTTAATATCTCCTCAACGAAGCCTCGGACAATATGTTCGCTACGGAAAAAGTTGTTTCAAATCACCTCCCGAACCACCTCTTTCAATGACCTCCAACATTTTTGGGACACCCTGTATATAACCCTGACGGGACGCCACGATCGTCTTGCCGGGGCGCCAATATTGCTGAAACCAGCCCTGGTTACATCTAGTAACAGTAGGAGAAATGAAAATACCCTTGCAACTAGTTGAAAAGTCTCAAGGTCTAAGCGTTTACACGAGATTAACCATCGCGGATTAAAATAATTTGTAATTACATCGATAACCACAGAAATCCATAGTCTATTTTTAAACTTAAACGTTGAAATCGCACGCATGTAACAACGATCGTAGTACATATCGATACATAAGCGTTATACAAATTCAAGGTACACTACAGAAGAGAAAAAAAATCAGCGATTAGCTTTATCCAAATGGCGTTTCGATAAAATAATTACTGTGCAAATGAACTCCAAGAAACAAGAGCGTGATCCTCGATCGATCGCAAACGGTAGTAGAAAATTCAGTATAATCGCTACTAAAATCGGTAGTGATATCCTATCTCCTATTTGCACTTCAAACAAGACTATGTCTCTATTATAAAAAAATTACAAAGTTTTTGTGATTGTTCTTATCGACAAATATGACGCTCGAACAGCACTCAAAGTCTTCCGACTTCGAATTCACTTCGTTCGGTCCAATTTTCAAAGGACTCCATTTCACGTTTGACCTGTTTTTAAACGTAGAGGAGGCGAAGGGGACCACAAAGAAAACCTGTTGATCGATTATTCCAAATTTCACCGAGAGACCAGGTACAAAAACCTCGATGGACAATCGCTATCCCTAACATACGGCTTTCGATACTAAATAAAGCAACAACCTCATCTTTCACCTCGTGAAAACGAATGTAGGCGACCAGTGAAGCTTGGCTGTGTTTCAGAACACGCCACGGCTCTCGTTTGCAAAACGAGAAATACAAAACACGGATTCTTTATAACAGTAAAATAAACATTTGATTTAGTTTTAATCGGAACCGCCCGAGTGGTGGTAGTATTTCAATAATAGCGAATGAGAACAACATACAGCGATTCATTCAATCGCGAACATCATTTTGTTAGTTAAGATTTGTGTCTAGAGAAAGAATCTACTTGTGATTCAGTCGCACTGAGAAGTTATGTCCTTCACGCGAATGCTTCGAAGAGAGTTGCGTTCGAAACCATTCGGAACAGTTAATCGCCTACTGTTCGATTAAGATAATTTTAGCACATGTATGTCATAGCTTTCACTAATCACGATTAATATCTGGGTACACGAAATGGTATTTACAATATGTAAATAACTGGTTAATGCCCGATGTTAAAGAATTCGATGATATATGTATGTATATGCAACGTTGGATCGTAACAGTGTCCCAGCATCCCGCTCGAACGAAACAATAAATTGTAAAAAGATTAAAATCGTTACTAGTACTCACTGTGCAGTCGTTTTTCGCGCGGTAATCCGAAAGTGAACAGCACCAGCACGTGAAGCAAATAATACAAGAAAATGAAAACGGTAACAGGCACGAAGAGAAAGAAACAACGAGCACGCAACAGCGTCTAACAACCGACTGAAGTGTCCTGGAATTCCGTGCGTCTGTCGAGCCAGGTTCGTATACCTGTTCTGTTTACTCGAACGCGACGCCCTCTCTCAACACTTTACCGACCGGTAGTCGATTAATCGACTTTTTGTCCCCAACGCTCACCGACCGGTAACTGCTATGGTAACTAGCAAGTATTTGTTACTTTGAATTGAGATACAAGTTGCTTTGCTCTGTAAGCTCTCGTATTTTTATACAATTCCCGGTGCCAGGGAAGATCTGCTGCCGAGCGGCCGATGAGAAGGGCATAGGATGTTGAAACGCTACCGATCGGTAAAGTGTTATACAACACACGCGACAGTCGATAAGGTAGTAATTCCAAAAATTCTACATACCTCTCGATAAAACTGATTCCGAATAACCAGTGTCGGTTTTAGCAATATTGGCGCCCCGGGCAAGATTATCGTGGCGCCCGCGCCCCGTCAGGGGAATATACAGGGTGTTCCAAAAATGTTGTAACACCCTGAAAGGGGTGATTCGGGAGGTTATTTGAAACAATTTTTTCCTTAGCGAAAGTGTTGTCCGAGGCTTCGT